TTTCAGCCAATCAAAGCGAAGTGCACGTGCATGCGCATGCGATCTTGCTATTTTGACCATGTCATCTTGTGCATACTACTAATATATCCTTACATTATAAGTTTCAAAATATTTCGTCACAAAATAGAAAAGTTGCGGTTATATCCATTATATATTGGTCATTTTAAGTTTTGCACGTGCGCGCTCTTGCAAGCACGTGCGCGCAAAATGACCTTGATTCCGCAAATCTACATAACATGCCTACTTACCCTAAAAAGGTTTCACCTAAGTCGGATGTGTAGTTTACAAGATCACTCGTGGACAAAATTTTCCCAGGAAGAAGAAAAATAATAATAATAATAACTAGAAACTCTTGTTGCTTCAGCAACAAAGAAGGTCTTCCGTTCTCCTCTATTTATCTGTAAGAAGGTATGTCCCAAAATCATTTCAAATACTCTTTTTATAAAAGATATTTATGGGAGAGTAAGAAACTCAATTTATGCAGTTTTTCTCTCATAACCAGAAGTCGTCGTTTTTGTTTCCAATGGGACTGACATATTTCGAAACTACTAGTAAAAAGCTATTAAGGTAATTCTAAGAAAGATTCCATAAAGAAAAGTTTAAAATTTTGATTTCTTTGATCACTTCCTGTGACGACCGGAAGTGACGGTGGATGATCTTAAACTCAAAGGATTTGTCTACTCATCAAGGTCTACCACCTCTAGTAGTTAAGTGTCTTAATCTCTTACCGTTAACGAGATCTAGTAATGATAACTTCTGATTTTGAGGACAGGAAGTCTCGTGACAGGAAGTGAATTTTACTGAGATATTAGACATTACTGTAGACATTTGCAGTCTGAATAACATATCCAAAAATTATTACAAATACTTTAACTATAACAAGTATTTATGGGAAAGAGAAATATTCAAATTATGTAGTTTTTCTCTTTTAACCGGAAGTTGTCGATTTTGTTTCCGGTGATACTATCATATTTCAAAACTACAAATAAGATGCTATAATGTGATGCAAAAAGTTTCTATAAAGAAAAGTTGAATTTTTCGATTTCTTTGATGACTTCCCGTGACAACCGGAAGTGACGGCGGACAATGTTATCCCAACTGGTTTTGCCTAATCATCAAGATCTACCACTTGAAACAGTTTGGTGTCTTAATCTCTTATCGTTTACGAGATCTAGCTATGATAACTTCACAATTTTAGGACAGAAAGTCACGCAACCGGAAGTGAATTTTCCTGAGATTTTAGACATTACTGTAGACATTTGCAATCTGAATAACATATCCAAAAATCATTACAAATATGTCATGTATAAGAAATATTTAGGAGAAAGAAAAATATAAAAAAATGCAATTTTTCTCTTAAAACCGGAAGTTGACGTTTTTGTTTCCAGTTGGACTGATATATTTTAAAAATACAAAAAAGATAGTATAACGTCATGCCAAAAAAGTTTTATAAAAGAAAATTTGAAAATTTTGATTTTTTGGAATTGAAAAAGTGACGGCGGACAACCTTTTCCAAACTGAATTTGCCTACTCATCAAGATCTACCAATTGTATAAGTTTGTTATATGTTTACCTAGCTATGATAAGTTGTCATTTTGAGGACAGGAAATCACGCGACCGGAAGTGAATATTACAAAGATATCTGACGTTACTGTAGACATTTGCAGTCTGAATTACATATCCAAAAATCATTACAAATACTTTATCTATAAAAAATATTTATGGGAAAGAAAAATACTGAAAATATGCAGTTTTTCTCTTATAACCGGAAGTTGTCGTTTTTGTTTCCGGTGAGACTGATATATTTCGAAAGTACAAATAAGATACTATAATGTGATGCAAAAAAGTTTCATAAAACAAAAAGTTGCAATTTTCGATTTCTTAGATCACTTCCTGTGACGACCGGAAGTTGAAGGATTTAAACGGATTGCACAAATCTACTTATCATGATCTATTATTCATGAAAGTTTTATGTCTTAATCTGTTATCGTTTCTGAGATATAAATCACTTTTTGAAAAACGGAAATCGGACATATTTGACGACCGGAAGTGAATTTTGAAAAACTGTAAACTACATTTGAAAGATATTTTTACTCTCTATCATCCCTGAAAATTTCATAAAAATCTGTCCAGTCATCTCTGAGATATCGTCAAAAAAAGAAATTACAAAAGGGGTAATAATAAAAAGAAACAGTAGAATCACTATAAGGTCTTCCGTCTGAAACGGAAGACCTTAATAAGAATAATAATAATAAGAAACAGAGCAAAAACATATGTTCCCCATTGTCAATTAGAAAATCAAGTTCCCCAACTTTTTAACATGTCAGAATTCAGGTGTAAGAAGGATAAATGAAATATATGGATGTAAGGTCGTAGAGTATTTCAAACTCCATAAAATAATGCAAAAAAGGAGCAAACAGGGACCTTCATAGGTGGCAGGGAATGACGCCGACTGGTCACACCCGTCGTGTGAATCTTGTTTTAAATTAAAGAAAAATCGGTCGTCAATTCAGTGTGTAAAAAATGGCCTAACAATAAGTATGGAAAACCTCAGTCATCATTTGATTGACTGATAAATTGTATTTGCTGAAATGGTCATTGGCTCGACCATAGAATTTAAGAACTACAGTAATAACTTTAAAAAACTGCTGGAATTCTGTTCATTGTTCGTCGATAATTTACTTCGTTTTAAAAATGTGCATGCAGTAGAGCATGCTTATGCGTTTCGAATGAACTGACATATATGAACCACGTATGCAGGTGATTAAGGTATATTGCTACATCAGTAAGGAAACTTGTCAATTGAAAAATTTAAGTCACTATAGACTTGGTTGTTATATGACCATTAACGTCTCTTTCAAGTAAAATATCCAGATATGAAACAGATGTGTCAGATTTTGTGGTATCTTTTATCTAAAACTCACAGGGATATATCGTCTCGGCATAAGAATGAAGATAACTATTGTTTTAAATTGAAAATATGTCGTCGAAATATCTATACGTCCAGTTGAAGGCCACAGCGAGTGTTTTCTTTTTTTCACGTATAAAATTTTGAATAATTCTGTTTCATATGAATACAAAAATAGTTCTGCTTATAACGGGGCGCAATTGGTACCCATGGGAATTCCAATAGATTGTTGGAAGACCTGGTCTTCAAAAGGCACATGGATATTGTCAATTAGAAAATCAAGCATCTTTTTAATGTCAAATTCAGAGAACTTGTGTACAGTCAGAATGTTTTTTTTTTTAATTTTTGCAAATGACGAATGACAAGTTTTAAAAGTAAATCTATGTATTATTTTTGTATAAGCAACTTTACGAGTTCTGTTTTGCGTAAATGAAGAAGCAGCTGCCAGCGATATCAAAAGGCCTGGACCTGTTCATTATATGCTAGCAGAAAAAGAAACTGTGCGTTACGTAAAGCATTATTAAAAGTACAAAATAAAAAAAAAATGTTTTGAATACACAAATGCGGAATTTTAATTTGCTGATTCGCTGGCCTATGGGAATATTAGAAGTAGGATCAGGTACCTAGGAGAAGTAAACATTCCCCGTCGATAAGATCTCTTTACTATTTGAATGAACAAAGAATATGAAAGTCAGTTTAGTATATCAAATGATAGACTAACAAAAGTATGAAAAAATTAAGTCAGCATTTGACTTAATTATAGGTTGTATTTGCTAGAAAGGTCATTTTTTTCGACCACACAATTTGCAAAATGTTGACTATAAACGAGACCGTGTATATCTAAGAGTATAAAAGTACCCAAATGGATACACATGAAGAAAAAAGTAAAAAAAAAAGTAATTTTTTGACTAAATAAACATTTGATATATATGCTGTCTTCTTTTGTCTAGCCTGAATTTAAGTGTATTACTTAAGATAAGGAAACTTTATATCAATCATACACAATTTGGGGGACTACTAGTATATAAAACACCTGTTTAAGGGACATAAATAACCTTAGATCTTATCAAATATCAAAAGTCAGTCCTCTGAAGACAAGGTGAACAGTGAGTATTCGTACATAAAAGTATTTTATTCAATCATTTAATTGTAAACAATTTTAATCCATAAAAAAATTATTGATTGTGAAATCCTATTTTTAAAGGCATAATTTATCGCTTTTTTTGTTTGCGGTACTGTACTATTTTGTTATTCTTAATAACATTTTGTGTTCGATGCAAGTACAATGACCTCAAAATATAAACTACTAGTATTTTTAAATCGAGTATGATCACTAACGTTTTCATACAAGCGGTGATCACGGAACTCTCTACAGATTTTTCCCGTTTTTCCCGAACGTTTCATGACAACGTGCACACGGCAGATGAGAACTGTCGACAGGGGATACTTGCTCCGCCATGATACCTAATTGCCCCTCTGATATTTAAAAAATTCATGCCTGCTATGCTTCTCAATTGTATTTTTTCAGAAGAATTAAGCTTGACAATGTTTTCTTTTCGTTTTTTTTTTTTTATTCATTTATTAAAATTTGTTTTCATAACATGTGATCAATGTTGACTAAATCAAGAACAAAGACATGTTCAATCTTTTTTTTTAATTTTTTTTTCTTTTTGAAATCCGAATGCTGCTGTTTTACATAGTAATTGAGTCAAGACAAAAGATTCAAATGTACCTGTAAATAAAATGTCTCTTACACACTCAAATTTCTTGATACCAGTTTTAAAACTCTTAATGAACATGTTCAAAGCTTTAAAATCTTTAATACAAATCTTTGAGGTTTTACTAGAATTTTTCAGCGTTCATACAATTTTTATTTTCAACATTAATTTAGTTCTACTCTTCTTTGCAGGTAGAAGATGTCTGCAACGTGGATTGACATATTACTTGTTGTAGCAATAGGTTTAAAAATTGAATCACTTGGTGGATCTGAAATCTAAAAAAAACAAACTTTTTAAAAAGAGTCATACTTAATTGAATTGTTAACTTGCTTTTTCGTTCATTACATCTTCGCTAACTTTCAGTTGCTCAAACGCAAAGTTCTGTCGGAAGCACCCAGGCTCCAACTGCATTTACAAAAGGACAAACAACAGACGTACATGTGTCGAACGGTGAAAAAATTCCATATAATAAAAGGATTACTGAGATCGGAGCTAGCTTTGATTCAGAGGGATCCTTTGTCTGTCAGACTCCCGGTCTATATGCTTTTACATTTTATGGACTCACTGCAGAGGATTCAAGTCTATGGCTCGAAATGATGAAAAATGATGAATTAATAGCTTCAAGTAAGTTACAAATCTGCATAGAACAAGAGATCCATGGGCCACATCGCTCACTTGGTCAACTTGGCTGGAAAAAAGAAAACATTTTAATATTGAAAAGACTAAATATAGAAGTGATCAAATACAAACCCATTCCCGTCAAGAAATAGGGGGTTGGATTGTTCACACCTTAATCAACACCGAATTCAGTATGTTTTTAAAAATCAGAGTCAAATGCTGACTGACTTTTCTCATACTGATTGTTAGGCATTATTCATACACTGAAATAGTTGACAAAAGATTTCTGTTATTATTCCCTGATCATGGCAAGGAGCACACAGGGGGTGTGAGGTGTAGGCAGGGGATGCTCACTCCTCCATGGCACCTGACCCCACCTCTGATGTTTTGGAGGTCCGTGTTTGCCCTGCTCTTATTTTGTAATGCTTGTAATGGGATTTTGAGCTCAAATATGGGTCGTTATCTCCGCATATTTCACTTCATATGTCTAATCTTTAGCCTTAGAATTTTGTTATATGTTTATCCCCTACTGTGGCTCCGTTCTACTCTATTGCGAACAATATTTGAACATATTTGAATATGCCTTGCATGAGCGGCTTTTGCCTTTCGTTTGATGAAGATTTTTAAGATTTATACTAAGTCTTTTTTCTTTATTTTTTGTTTTTACTTTTTCATCATGCAACTATGAACCATTTTTAACCCTGGGGTCAGGATTTGAACAATCTAGGTACTATCTAAAGCTGCTTCTTTATTACTATGTCTAATCATTTCTTTACTTTTCTTGACAAAATTTCAGTAGTTCTTGCGAAAGTGGTTTAAATACCCCCACAAAAGTTTCACTTTGTCGTACCATATATAGTTATCTCCATTGTATGAAGGGCATGTCCTCTCATTGAAATATTTGAATGTCCTTTACCCAAGGAGAGTCTATACCAGGTTTGGTTAAAAATGGTCCAGTTATTCTTGAAAATAAGGCGAAAATATTAAAAGTTAAGTATTAACTATTAAAACGATAGACAACGGACAAATTTTGATCAGAAAAGTTCACTTGAACCTTCGGCTTGAACTTTCGATGAAGGTTAGCTCGTAATTTTTTTAAACAAAGAATTGAATTTGATTAACTTATAAAAATTACTTTTTTCCAGTCTTTGGTCATACCAAAAATGATTATGCAGACGCTGGAAATGCAGCAATAGTACATTTAAATACCGGCGACAAGGTGTACGTGAAAGCCCACAATAATTATAACCATGCACTGTTTGGACGGACAGATCAGATTTACACCACTATAACTGGGGAACTTTTATTTGCTGACAATATTGGTTAGTTCCAAGATGTTGATCAATTAAAGAATATTTTGAATATAAGACATACGATGCCCATTGTGAAGTAAACTTTGAAAGTTTGTTCGGGTGTCATAAATTCATAAACATGGTTAATATTTCCATGTTCACATATCAATGTGTGTTGATGAGAATTGTTTTTCAATCAACTATAAATTTTAAATGCAATAATTTTATTATCATTTTTTTTTGTGCATACTTAATATTGATATTTCAAATTGCACACATTACTCTGCATTGATATCAACTACATGTACCAATTTGTCAACTATATGTTTTAAGTGCAGTTTTACAATTAAAAAATCGAGATTCTTTTGTCCGCCCTACATGATTAATATGTTTTATCCACAATTCTCTAGAACTAGATGTAGAAAACTTCTATGGTCCTGTAGGATTCTCAGCAATCCTGACCAAGCACGCTTCTGTAAGTGGTGGATCAGCTGTACTTTACGACAAAACCATCACAAATATTGGGAGTGGCTACAACACAACCACTGGAACGTTTACTGCCCCAGTTGAGGGAACATACTTGTTTCACTTCCATGCACTGGCCCATGAAAATACTGTGAGCAGTTAAGAGTTTTTTTTAGATCGTACAGTACTGAAAAATGACCACCTCAAAATTATTTTTAATGTCTGAAAAAGATCTTTTTTTCATTTGAGGATTGTTCATTTATTTCTAAGACATTGACAAAAAGACGATGAAAAAGATTTTAAATTCCGAAAACAAAATTTTTTTCAAACAGGATTTTTGGCTTGAGCTGTTCCACAATGAACATTATGTTATCTCGTCTTATGGATATACTGAGGGATCTTACGCTGACGCAGGCAACACTGCTGTTCTCCATCTTAAAAAAGGATACATTAGACATAGTAAAAACCAATTGTCCAGGCCTGGATATATTAGAAGCAGAACTGCCAGGCTGTATGGAGCCTCTAATGAATTGTACACCACATTCTGTGGAGCGCTTCTGTCACCAACTGTTAAAAAAATCAGTGGTAATTTCCCATTGCGGTATTCCATTATTTAGAAATGTCATTGTCTATTCAATCTATTTGTTTCTTTTTTATCTTTTATGAAGAAAATGTATGGTTTGTCGCACTACCATTCTTCCTTATTAATTTTGATCTGACTCAATTTTGTTTTTAATCCTTGAAATAGGTCATGGAACACAAGAGGAAATAGCTTTCTCCGCCGGTCTTACCCATCACGAGACTTCCTCTGAATCCTCCAAAGTAGTTTTTGACAGGGTTTTTCTTAATCATGGATTAAGCTTCAACGCAAACACTGGGGTTTTCACGGCCCCAGTAGCCGGCATCTATGTCTTCCATTACCACGCCCTAGCCCAACAAGACAAAGCAGAATGGGTGGAGCTCTACCATAACTACATCTACATCAATTCTCTCTATGCCCATACTTCAGGAGAGTTTGGCTCAGGAAGTAACTCCGCCGCTCTCGAGTTGGATGTCGGTGATACCGTGTATCTCGATATTCAACACCGTGGCTCTTATCTTTATGGTAGCACCGATCAAATTTACTGTACCTTTTCTGGATACCTTTTGTCACCAATTTCTAGACATAATCCAGTTGTGGGATAAATGCTTTACTTTTGTTCCAAATAAACACGGATAAAGATTGTGTCAATCAATTGTTATTTTTTCAATGTTGATACTAGGCCTTAATACAGACAAGAGTGTTACAATGAATGTTTGATTCGCCTGTTTTATATTATCATTAAATAATTAAATCTCATAGTGGCTAGCCATTTATTTTACCCTCACTTAAAACGTGGTAGGGTATATAATAATCGGGATGTACGTCTGTCCATTTGTCTGTGCGTCTGTCCGTTATGCTTTAGGGTACCCATCTCCTATCCGCAATTTCTCTTTTACCACTGAATTAAATTTAATGAGACTTTTACACAATCTTTGTTACATAGTGTCATTGTGCATCTCAGATAAAGTTTTGATCGGACACCTTTTTTTAGTTTTCCAAAGCAAAACATGGACAGGACCACTTTTTCATTAATATTAAAAGTTACTCATCTCTTATCCGCAACTCCTACTATACCACTGAATAAAATGTAATGATACTTTCACGGATTCTTTATTACATAAGCCATTGTGCACCTCCTATATTACCTTTTGATCTGACTTATTTTGGCTATCCCAGAGCAAAACATGGACTTTACCATTGTAAAATATGGGAGGCAGGGATATCAGTTAGTGAGTAAATTGCTCAAAGTACCTCTACTTTGTAACTAGCATGATAAGCCATGTGTTAGCCTAGAAAGTGTTTATCATTTTATAATATGCTTAATCCGGCAATAACAGTCCCCAAATAGTAGTGTCTTTTCTGCAATTGTTACACTACAAACATCCATTTTGTTTAGCTTCTGATCTACTTTTATATTTCTCTGGAAAAAAAGGATGGGTGGCCAGAAGTTACAGTGACACCAATGTAACACACCCATAAAAAAACTGAATATTTGTTCCGCATAAAAATTTGCACTCATTTTTGGATTTCTTACTTCTGTTACAACTGTTTCAAAATATTGCTTTATCCCCTACCAAATTTACTCTAATATAACATGTGTGCAGGAAACGACTTTGACGAGTTTATCATGTCGTCCAAAATGGCAGTGGAACATAGGCAAGTTTTCATGGTTTCCATTTCAGGCCCAGGATGGCTATTACAACAGTTATAAGGAATGTTTTGTTGTGGAAATAGTACAATAGATTATATGGTAGGAACCCTATATTTTGAGATGGCGGTTTCAAAAACACAGAGAAATAAATCTCGAAACAGCGGACTTTTTGGGTGAAATAAATACAATTGGTGGCATTGTAGCTCTCTGGTCTGTCAATGTGTATTTTTTTCGGAGTTACAATTCTACAGCTACCATTTTATTATCCCGATTTATTATACCCCCTATTGAAAAGCGGGAGTGTATAAAGTAAACGGGATGTCCGTCCGTCTGTTCGTCCGTCCGTTTTTTACGCTTTGGGATATCCGTCTCTTATCCACAACTCCTCTCATACCACTGAATGAAATTTGATGAAACTTTCACAGAATCGTTATTACATATTTCCATTGTGCATCTTCTATTTTACTTTTTGATCCAACACATATTTTGGGTTTCCCATAGCAAAGCATGGACACTGCCATCATATTCATATGGGAGGTGTGGTTTCATTTTGTGAGCTCATTGCTCACAGTACCTTTATTTTTCAGTATATTTAGATTTCAATGTTTATAGAAGCTGTTTGAAAGTGATTTGTAATGGTTTTATTTGTCTTATTATTCAAGGGAAATTGTGCACATGCTTAATGACATACATGTAAAATTGTCACTTAGGCCACACCAATAAAATTTCTTGTTCGTCGGACCCGAGCGCTCGTATTTAAACAGAACTATACAAATAATATCAAATTTAAATTTTCCGCACCATTAGAATTTTGTGCCATTTTCTGTTCAATTTCCGCTCTATCTATCGTATTTTTAATCTTCAAATCAGAAAAAAATAATTGTCCGTTCAAATTTTTTCACGCTCCGCCTAAAAAATTGTCTTCAAAAAAGTAATAATATTATTATTTAACCGCTAGCCCGCTCGTACTTATTTTCCTCAAATGTCCGACGAACAAGAAATTAAACTGGTGCGGCTTTACTTGTTTTTCTTTTTGTGACTGTCATTCTGAAAATTAAAAAGCAACCTGGCAGTTCAAAATAAAAAGGAAATTATCAAAATAAGAAGTAAAATTTATATAAGACATTATTCATCTCTAATCAGTGTTTATTGTTATCTATGTACTCATCTAATGTTACAGAAGCAATTTATCCTTTTCACCTGTATTTAGAGTTGCTTTGATTCGATATGCAAGAATATGTTCTACGAACAGTTTCTAAAACGAGGCAAAAAGCGAGGCAAAAACTGAGTAACAAATATCAAGTCTTGATACGTCAACTTTTTGCAAATTATAAGGCTGACTGACGTTTTATTACATATTTTAGGCCATTATTTCCATACTTAATTATCTTCTTATCTTATATTCAGTTTGACACTTTGAACAATCATGACAAGAAGCACACTACAGATGTGGTCGGTCGATAGCGGATGCTTATTCCTCATAGTAACTAATACGAATGAACTATTTATGATATCAATAAAAAGTTTCTTTCTTTGTTATCTGAGGAATAACGGTAACATCCATTGCAGTAAAATATCATGTAACTTGCTATCGCAGGTTAATCAATTTTCTGCAATCTTGAAACCATATTCTTCGCATCAAGTATTGATTACTAGACAAAGTTAGGATATCCTCTTCTTCAAATTAATGTTGGATTAAAGTTAAAAAAAAAATTCTTTTTTAACTTTTGAATTTAAGCAAACTTATGAAAATGAAGTAATTTAATTTAAGATAATTCAGTTTAGCCAACTCTTTCTCTCGTTCAAATTTCTTTAGCAAAACAATTTTAAACAATTAAACTGGGAAATGTAAAATGGATTTGAAAATTTGATTCGTATTCCCTGGTTATGTAATCAAGCATGGTTGTGTCTCACCTTAACACTACGAATATATGGACAAAAAATATGATGAATATGTTCTTGTTCGCCTTTCGAGAGCATTTTATGCAAATTCATCCATTTACAAAGAATTTTTGCATGTAACAAACAAGCAAGGTCAAGATCGACTTCCGGCTGTCTGATACTGTTTATGTGCATTTAAATCAAATTCCGAGGAATAATTAATTAGCTCTACTAGTTAGCAGATCATCATTTTGTCACATATTTTTTCTTCTATAAAATTTATTTTAAAAAAACAAAGAAGACAATTTCGTCTATGCTTCACCATTTCTAGGTTATATAGTACGTTTGAAAGGCTTTATTGCTTTGTAATAGTTTCATATTTAAAATATAAATTAATCTTTTATTATTTTGTTCTACATGTGTTAACCTTTAATCAATGTAAAATAAAACAATTGGCGTTTTTGGATAAAACTGACATTTATAAATAATTTATAAAATGATTTCGGTATTCTTTTAAGTCATTGTATTATGAAACATTAAAAAATACATTAAAAGAGTTCTTATGCAACAACATTAGATAATTTTAAATGTATGTGTAACCATAGTCCCTGAAAAGTATTTCATGAGTTTTGGTCCAGGCGGAGCATTGTCACAGTGTAAGGTAAAGATTTTGCATTTAAAATATGGGATATTTTCGAGATTTTGTTAATCTGTGTACTAAGTTAAGATCAATTTGTGACAAAAAGCTGACATATCTTCTTTGGCGTTTATTCTTTTAACTAAACGGTATTGCATGGTCGATTTTTAATAATGTGAACTCTCTCTCTCTCTCTCTCTCTCTCTCTCTCTCTCTCTCTCTCTCTCTCTCTCTCTCTCTCTCTGCTGATTGAAAAAGTTAAGGCTTGTATTAAAATCCTTTTATAAAAATTCAAATGTTTTTTAATAATATCAAAAAAGCTTTTTTGTTTAAAATTAGATTAAAAGAGAATATTGGTGACAGATTCTAGATTTTAAGGCTATAATTATATTACCATGAAAATTCTCAAATAAAAAGCTAAAAAAAAAAATAGCAGTGTTTAGAGAAAAATAAGAAAATGAATAATTATTCTTGACATAATGAAGAAATGTTGATGAAAAGCTGGACTCTTTATGAGAAAAAGAAATTTGTAAGAAATGCATGTATTTTTAAAAATGTTTTTATTGACATTTTAACATTCTCTGTTTTTTCTAATTTATTCGTCTACCTATGACATTAATTATCTAGGCATATTATAGTTTTAAAGTAATTTTTCCGTACAATAGATGGACAGAATTTCAAGTTACTTTCACACTTATTTTTTAGAGATATTTTCATGCACTTTGCATTCCATACAGGTTTGATTTATAATCTTGAAGTCAAAGTTTTTACCTATGTCCCTGATGTAAGAAATTAGCAGTGTATTATTTATTCTCAAAAGGCTAAAGCTAGATGCCACATTTTATCTTGCATTTTAGGGTCAATACTTGACTAAAAATCAACTCTGTATACTATCCTCGGATTCAAAAAACAATAAATCAACTGAAGGCTCTTAAAATACTTCACCAACCAGTCAGTATTAACTGTGAAGTAAAAACTGTACATAATCGAGAGAACCTACATAATACGCAGCAGGTCAACTTTTTTTTTTCAAAATGACTTTAATTAAGTTCTGTCCTGATTTATTCAGTAATAGAAGCATCTATATAATTTGTAATTGTCCTACGTAACGTTTTAATTGGTCATTGTTATAATAAATTTAAGTTTAAAACATCAATTACATAAAAACTAGCCCATTCTGATTTTGCACTGATAAAGGATAATTTTAATAACTTTTTACATTATTTCAGAACACAGTCAGTTATATAATTTGTCAAATCCATTCAATGACAGCATTTCATTTTTTGGAAACTTTTCTAGGAATTTGCAAAACATTAAAAGAAAATTACTTCGTTTTAGAATAATCCATTGTATCAACGTTGTATGCTTGTGTGATCATTCCCTTCTCCAATTTTAGATAGAATATTCTCCGAAGATGGATTTCGAAATGTGGTTTTGGATGTCAGTGTTCATCTTTATTTATTTCTTGAATGCAGTGACAGCTTACACGGGAACAAGTAAATATCCTTTAGAATTTAGAATAATCTGTGTGTTATTGTGAGTGGAACTCATAATCAGGCAACGCACTTTGAAAAGATCTTTTTTTTTCAAAGTGCGTTTTAACTTGGACCCAAATTCAAAGCGTGTAATTTTGTAACGTGCGTTGTAACAAAGACACCTTTTCTTGTATCGTCTTAGTTAGTTTGAATGAAGTCACGTGCCACAACGTACAGAACATATATTCAGTCTCAGGAGAAGTAGCCTTCAATGTAGAATGGAGTGGAGAGAAAATTACAAGGGACTGCAGAATCATCTTCCAACCATCACCAGCAAACCAGAAAACTTGTATTGAGGTGGTTACTTACCAAGTCAGGGACTGCGATGTTCAGCTGACGTATTCTACGTACAGTGAGGGAGAGAACCCGGATACGGTACGTTATTACCTTCACCAGCAAATGTTTGACGTGGCTAAAATAATATTTGTAAAAAGACTCCATTATATTTACCAACATTGTTTTATTTTCAAGGTAGTTGAAAACCTTTTATTCTGAAATTTATTTATCTGAAATCTGCAAAAAGTTTTTATAGTAATGACGATAATTATACTCAGTGACATTCAAAGTGCCTTTAAAAGAACTTTTCTTCAATTTTTTAAGGTTTCCTATTCATGTAAAACTCCACCAACGCAGTTCTGTGGTGACAGGAAAAATGTGGCGGTACAACTTACCCTCAAAAATCCCTCTAATTTAATCAATAACAGTTTCCGTTTAAAGACAACAACCACAACATCTAGCACACTTTCTAAATGTAAGTAGTCATCAAATTCTAAGAAAAACTTCGAAAGACAGAGCTAAAAAATGTTTTAGTATATCATAGATGATGAACAAGTATACCACTTGCAAAGCCAGCTTTTGACAAATAAGCTGATGAAACAAGAATTTGAGCAGTTTCGCTTAAAGTCATCATTTCCCAAGTTCTATGATCGATACAATGACCTTATCAGCAAATACAGCTGTATATGCAATCTTTCATTACTTAAAATGTTGAACAACGTTTTTCATGTTAATTACCAAGCCACTTTTGCACACTTAATTGAAATACGGATTTTTTCGTTGGTTCCTCGACAAAAGGAGCATTGGTGTGCCCGGTCGGCTGGGGTGCTTACTCTTCCATTATGAAAGCACTTTATCCTACCATGGTTAAGAGGTCCATGTTTGCTCTGTTTCTGTACTATAATGATTAAATGGACTTTAGAATTGGAACATTATTTGGAGACCAGGTATTCCAACAATCTATTAGGCTCCAATTGCGCTCCGTTATTAGCAGACCTATTTTTCTATTCATATGAAGTAGAATTTGTGCAAAATCTTATGCGTGAAAAGAGTAAAACACTTGCTGTGGCCTTCAACTCGACATTTAGATATATCGACGACGTATTGTCAATTAACAATGGTAATTTCAATTCCTACGTCGATACGATATATCCTGGTGAGCTTGAGATAATAGATACCACAGAATCCGACACATCTGTTACATACTTGGATATTTTTCTTGAAAAAGACGTTAATGGTAATCTAACAACCAAGCTATATGATAAACGTGATGACTTTAACTTTACTATCGTCAACTTCCCTTACTTAAGCATCAATATACCTTCATCACCTGCATACGGAGTCTTTATATCTCAGTTGATTAGATACGCAAGAACATGCTCTACGTATGAACAATTCCTAAAAAGAGGTAAATTATTGACAAGCAAGTTGATGAAACAAGAATATCAACAGTCTCGTTTAAAGTCATCATTTCGTAAGGTCTATGGTCGATACAATGACCTTGTCAGCAAATACAATTTATCATTGATTCAAATGCTGACTGACGTTTTTCATACTAATTGTTAGTCCATTATTTATACACTGAATTGACGACGGATTTTTCCATTATTTCCCGATCATGACAAGGAGCACACGGCGGGTGTGACCGGTCAGCAGGGGATGCTCACTCCTCCATGGCACCTGATCCCACCTCTGATGTTTCTGGGGTCCGTGTTTGCTCTGCTCTTATTTTGTATTGTTTTATGGACTTTGAGATTGAATACTGTTCATTATCTCCATATCTTTCGTTATCTACATATTTAACTTCATTCCATGTATTTAACCTTAGATTTAATGGTTGTTTGTTGTTGTACATGTTGTAGTCTTAAAAACATTTCTGTTCTTCAGCTTCAACAATGACAGCGGTTGGAGTTGGAATTGGCGTTGCAGTCGTCATGTTGATTATGTTGTTTCTTATATATCGCAGACGACACGCCATTGCACTTGCCGTAAGAAGCAGAACTGCAGGAACACGACATTTGATGACGTCAGATACAGACGGTAAAAAGGATTGGTTTATTTTACATTTACTTGCTCCTCCCTCTGGAAAAAAGTATCTCATCTATATAAATCATTATGTTCATTGCTTTCTATACTGTAAAAGTTAATATCAGTAATACAGATTTACATATTTATATATAATTATATTTTCTTCATTAAGTCACTAATAATCATTCCTAGTAACACCTTACTTTTTTCTCAGTGGTTCATAATGTCATTCTTTTAGAGTTTTGTCGTTAATTATAGATTCCCCCGTGTGACATTTTATTCAGGAATCTACGCTCCTACCACGACAGCGGAGTAAGACGTCATCATGTAGGGCAGAGAAAGGTCAAATCTTGGAATGCCGCAGCAATTTTTCCAATGTCCAATTCTATACTTTGTTAATTTCCTTCGAGAAGTTTCTTTAGCAATCTTTCTATTGTACATATAACATTTTTGTTTGTATCATGAAGTATGTTTTGTCTTGTAAAGGTCGCAATACATATACTACATGATATATTTTGCGTTAGAAATAGGAAATGGTAAATGTGTTAAAATGCGTGACTGCGGTAAAGGGGGTTAAACTGACGTACCAACATTTTCTTTATAACATTTATAAATTTATGAAATATATTCATTATGTATAACTCAAACACTATATATATACACTGTATTTATTCAATCTTCGTGTATATAAATGTAAATATACATATGTTTGTTATACCTTTAAAAATTTCTTCTTATACAAATCTATACGGGAAAAAATCTAAAATTTGTAATGTTTTGCTGAGCGGGCATAAAAAAGTGGATGTTGGACCGCTGAACGAAATGTTGGACCAGTCGAAGAGATGATGGAACAGTTACGTCACAGAATGGGCGGAGCTTAATCTCATTTTCATTTGTTTGTGTTCAAAAGTGACGGAACTGATGTTACATCACGAAAGACAGTATAAAATACATGTATGTTAAAAAGAATTAAATTAAAGGTACATGTATAACAAAACATTTATTGACTGTGTTCTCGGGCAAAATGCGTTTTGTCGACCCTCTAACCAAACTGTCTGCTTTCGGCCTATCGGCCTCAGGCAGACAGTTTGGTTCTTGGGTCCGACAAAACGCATGTTGCCCTCGAACTCAGTCAATAAATGTATAATGTTCCCTTTTTGATTTGAAGAGAAAATTCTTAATTCAAAATCATATGTCAGTTTTGAATATGTTTAATATCCCAAACAAACAAAATGAAATTAAATTACCATTTCTATATTGGATTCTGAACTACTTAAAAACCATTACAAATATACATAGTGGGTTCCAGTAAATGTTCAATCAAGCCTCTTACTTTACTCCTCCCTAAGATATTAACAGTAGTGAAGGAGAAGTCTCAAGAGTACTGCACGACATTATAATATAAGAAGTGGTGTGAATCAGATAAGGATACTTAAAAATTCCAAGAAACTTTTGCAAAATTTGAAATCGCAAGATTTTACAAAATCAACAGCCTAAAAACTTACGACTTTTCAACTATAAACACAACCATTGTACACGATATATTTAAGTCCAGGCTTTATGATATCACGGACAGCTACCTTTTCAACAAAAATGGAACTCGTAAAATTACTTCCCTTGTCATTGGTCATTTGCAAAATTATTTTGTTTAAGAATATTCTGATTGTACATACAAGTACTCTGAAGATGACATCAAAAAGACGCTTGGGTTTCTGATTGACAATAACTGCGCCCCGTTCTTAGCAGACCTACTAGTATTTTTGTATTCATATGAAGTAGAATTTGTCCAAAATCTTATACGTGTAAAGAAGGTAAAAACTTGCTGTGGTCTTCAACACATTTAGATGAATCGCCGACGTATTGTAAATAAACAATGTTTTTTTTTTTTTCATCCTTATTGTCAATACGATATATCCCGGTGAGACAAAAGAGATAAAAGATACCACAAAGTCTGACACATCTATCTCATATCTGGAGATTTACTTTAAAAAGACGATAATGGCAATCTAATATGTTGAACCAAACTCTATGATAAACGTGATGAGTTTATCTTTTCAATCGTTAGCTTCCCTTACTTATGCAGCAATTAATAATTACCTTCATTTTCTGCACAGGGAGTTTATCTTTCTTAGTTGATTCGGTACGCAAGAGCATGCTCTACGTATGAACAATTTCTAAAACGAGGTAAATTATTGACAAACAAGTTGATAAAACAAAAATATCAGCAGTCTCGTTTACAGTCATCATTTCGTAAGTTCTTTGGTCGATACAATGACCTTGCCAGCAAATACAATTTATCATAATGTCAAAATGCTGACTGACGTTTTTAATGCTAGTTTTAGCCCATTATTTACACACTGAATTGACGACGGATTTTTCCGCTATTTACCGGCCATGACAAGGAGCACACGGTGAGTGTCACCGGTCGGCAGGGGATGCTCACTCCTCCATGGGCACCTTATCCCACTTGCGATGTTTTAAAGGTCCGTATTTGCTCTGCTTCTATTTTGTATTGTTTTATGGACATGAATACAGTTTGTTATTTCCCTATGTTCCATGTATCTCTGTATAAAATATAATATGCAGTTTTTTTACATTAAAAACAATTACTTTAAAAATCGGATTGCAATATTTTTTTTCATTTTAGATCAGATTAGCAGGCATAAATATAGGGCATCGATTTAAAAAAAAATGTTATAGTAAGTTAATTCAAAACATACATTCAAAGAGTTCTTAAAGTTTATTGTTGCATTACATGAATAGATAATTGAATTTTAATGAGTATTTTATATTTTCCAAATATATTCTTTTCTCAATCTTCAGATCAGTACCATTCGCCGTATTTTTTCAATCATTTGATCATTAAAGTAAAACAAGACTCAGTGTTTTCAAACCATTCAACATATGTTAAACATTTTGTTCATCTTCTTGTTTTTGATAAAGTATACTTTGTACACAAAAATTTCTTGCGTATTAAAGACTACCTCTTAATTTCAATACATTTTCTTCAAGTGACTTAAAATATTTGAACTAGAAATGGACGGTTGAGATTATTGATGTCATTTGTTTACAATTTAATTTTGTATTAATATTAATTATAATAGATTCATTGTGCATAATGTTCAGTGTATTACAATGGATCTGGGCGGATATCAGTACTGCCTCGGCGTATTTCACTGCTTACTCGTTTGTTATCATAGATAATGTCTTCCTCCAGGGGCACGACTTTCGGGGTGTCTCTCATTTTCGGCAGTGTTTGCATGACCATCATTTCTGGAGGGGGAGGGGGGTACATAGCTGGTCCCATAGCCATTTTTGCCATAGCCTTCTTTCTTCTTTTGGCTGTGATTTAAATAACATATTAGTCTTTTTTAAATTCTTTTCTACTGGGTACACACACTCGTACCAATACAGAAAGGCATATCATTGTACATGTTGTAAAAACATACCTGCTTTTCTTAAATGCTTTAATTTTCTTTTCTTTTCCGAGTTCAGCACAATCATTATGACTATTCCCGACATTATCCACAGCAGGGCACAAATTGCCGCCACAATCATTGGCCATAGTAAAACTGAGTACGCCATGTCTAATCACAAAGAAAACAGCATAATGATTTATGTATCTCTATATAATTCTTCAATATGTAAGATTTCCTACTGGAGTCTTTTGCTACATCGTATGTATATACGATTGAAATGTGGATAGAATTCGAAGTTGATGCTTTAAGGAGGAGTGGTATTTCAAACTAACCCACTTCTTTCTTTCAACATGGTCAATGGATTGGTGCACAAAAATACTTATTGTTAAATAAATATGATATAATATGATGTAATTTGGCTTATATAGATTAAACATATCTACATGTACTTTTTGAAGGGAAAATCGATATTTTTGTAATGTTAATCTACAAGCTGTGAAAATATTACCACAGAAGATACGGAAATAAATGTATGCAAATGCACACACAAATATTATTAAGAGCCTGGTGAAGTACTATAGTAACTTTAAAACCCACAGCTGTTTACATAAAAAGAGCTTCCTGTCCAACTAGTTTGAAATATGTATAAGTAATTTCGTTTCTGAAAATTAGTTATGCATTGTCTTGTGCAACCTCCATTACCTACAAAAACAAAAAATCCAGAAAACTTACCTTAACCCGTGTTAACCTCGAGAAACGCCCTACTGAAACATTTTGATGCAAACATTACTTTGTATCATGTTTATTATCAAAATATCGCGTTTCACTCGAAAAATTCAGCGACCGTACAATTCTTTTGTTAGTAACTGGGTCATCACGGAGAGAAATGGGGGGTGAGGATGGCAGTCTACACAGTTCACCTACTACATGTAACAGATAAATTACATTTCACAATGCTTGAAATTTACAATTATAGAGCTTTAATCTTTTTGGAAAGGAAATTTGTATACAATCTCTATACTACATAAACAAATATATGTGAGCTTATGAGTATATGAGTATTTTTATTAAACTGACAAGCAAAACAAAACATGTACTTAATCATATTAATCGGTTCTATAGTGGAAGGGGCCAAGAGACTTTCCTAAGACAATACCCAACAATTTTAACGATTTAGGGTAGGTGTTTCGAGCTGGAGGGGCAGGGTTATTTTCTCGTCATTTAATAATAATGTCAAAAGAGTATGACATGCGTCTGTTTTCATATTTTCCTGTTAGCAAATAAATAAAATAAAATAAAATTTCTATCATTTTATAAGAACTTAAAAAGTTGTATTATAAACAGTGGACTCAGTAGAATATTCTTATTACTAGACAGTTTTTTTTTCTTTAAGGAAAATTAAAGGGTAAAGAATTTAAGAATGATAACTCACTCTCAGATGGACACAGTATTAACCAGCATAGGAAATTAGTGATATTCTGACAGTTGGCCTCGCTTCATTGTATATTTTCTTATATGAATTTAATACATTTTTTTCAAAATCTTTTTATTCTATGTTTCTTTCTATTTTTATTTATACTGCCTCCAATTTTCTTCATTACATGATGAGTTTAATGCATTTAATTTTTGGAAAAAAAGAGCATCAGTTTCCTTCATTTGAATCTAACATATTTTTGATTAATAAAAATCAATGCTAAATTTTTTTTTTGATAAACTTTAGAAGAGAGGGAGATTAATAAGGCCTTCTGGTAATTATAAGCTTTATCATAAAGATTCATTTAAACATTAATCATATGCAAGAAGAAAAGAAAACATAAGTTATGTGTATATTTTTTACTTTCTTGACACCAGGGTGTATAGGCTAGTACACAACTATATATGACTGCACACCAGGAGAAAGAACGGGGTTATAGCCAATATCTTGTCTGCCAGTCACACTAAATTTATCTTATATTCTTATATCAAAATTCTGCACATTTCTTTAACACATCTCCTTGAAGATACAACTGTTTTAAATTCTCGTCGATACTGTCAAACTTTTTGTAGAATTCAATCGTCTTCGCGTTCCACGATGGATCGTTCATAACACACCATTCCATACGCCGAGCCCCGCTCTCAAGGGTAACCTGTAAGATATTACAATCAAATGGATAAATGTTAAAATTGACTGAAAACTGTTCTACCTGCTTTATATACAATGCCTTTTAATTTCTTGATATGATTAACTCTCGAGAAATAACTAATGAAGTAAGTGAACTTTTGCTCCAGTAAGTACGAAATTACCCGTATTTGTCCTGACAGCGAAATTCTCTATCTTAAAAGAGTGGGATTAGCCACCCTTTCCTCACCGCGTTCTATGAGCACGCTGTCAATACACGTACTAGTACATGTACACCAATCTAATTTACCTTTGCTATATATTTAAACACCGTCGTTCCGTATCCTTTGGATCTGTGTGCTGGTTTTATATAAATGTCTTCTAAGTATAAGATTTTCCCACAATCTCCATTAAATCCAAAAAAATAGGTGGCGAATCCAATCACTTCTTTACCTGCGGATCAATTTAAAAAATATAATCATTTCTCTAGTTGCACATGCCTCAGGTATATAATATCAATACACTCATTTCGAATTTCATCTATGACTTTCAGTAGAATAACTGTATTTTTTAATAGGAAATTTGTGACAAAGTTGAATCTTAAGGAAACTAGACCATACTCGGATAAACTGCTATTTAATTTTCAGCATTTTAATATTCGTTGTTTTAATTTATTTATTCATAAATTATTAATGTTTTGAATTGTAAACTATTCTCTGAAATGTATGGATAACTGATTAAATAAAAATACTGTATTGATTTTGAACGGTTAAACATCAATATCAGCAACACAAAAATAGGAATTTTCTTTGCTATAGAAATCATATTTATGATTCATGAAAGTTATTGATGTTGTACTTGTTTGTAAATCAGAAGGATTAGGAAAAAATTCCGTATACATCATTTTTTGATTTTGAACAAACTTACTGTCTTTCAATTCCACGACATGTGCCTCGAAAAGCTTATTTTCTCCATCACGTTTAAACTCTGAAATAATTGAAATATAATAATATCAAAGTTTGATTCTTGAACAGTGGATATCAAAGCACTGTGAAATAGAATAAGAGATAGACATGTGCTAAATAACTTAAATTGAAAGATGAATTATGTATTTTTTCTTAATTTTGAGAGTTTAGACACCTATTGATATCACATTAAATTACAATTAGTAATTTCATACCTGATTAGATCTTTCATTTAGGGAAAAAATATTTATCTTTCTGCATCAAAATTTTAAGGAAATTATTACAATGTTACACATGTAGACAATGTATAGACATCTAGTTTATGTTATATAATGAGTCCGCACGGGGTTTAACGTATTTTAGATTTAAGTTTGTAATGACTTGGACCACAGTAGTTCGCGTACCTATCAATTTTACCGGAATTTTCAGTAAATAAAAAAGATACGTAATACCTATAACGTACCTTCACACGTTAGTATTAATGCCGCCTGACGGCCCTCTTCTTCTCGCATATCCTGTCCAATAAATTTATTGATATAAACAAAACAAAGAAATACACACATAAATTTAAACTATACATGCAAATTAGATAGCTACAGCGAACAAAAAAAACGCAAGTTCTGAGGTAGCCCGTCAACGAAGCAGAAACATCCTGTCTTCAGTGCGCGTTTCATAATTTCGTTTTTCGGATGCTCTCTTAAAGTTAATTTAAAATTTTTGTTATTAATTAACTACAGACAGAAAGATCAATTCTTCATGACCAGTGTATTTTTTAACAATATGACATAAAATACACACGAGTGACCCGGAACCGAAGACGACCCGGAAATGAAGACTCTGGCACTGTATTGTTTTGTGGATTTTTCTAAATCGATCACTGCTCGTTATACCTTTTATATAAATTAATCGATTTCTTAATCCAGTCTGTAATAAATTTGAGGGGGTCGACTGTCGTTTTCATTGCGCAATATTTCGCGCATCAGAGTAAAATGAAGCGTATTTATTGTTTTAAAGCAACTTTGTTCACTTGGTTAATAAAATTAAACAAAATTAAGAAAATGCAGGTTTAAAAATGTAATTACAAATTTATATATCTGAATTTTTAAGCGATTTTGCAACTGATAGGTACATGTAGATAGATTGACGTCGTTATAGTGTGTTTTTACGTTATGATAAGCTGAAGGGGTAATAAAAGTTAATGTTATTAAACAAAAAGTAATAAACATACGCTCTTGAAATTTAAAACATAGAAATTTGAGAACCTCTCCATTATTCTTATCAGTTTTTCATATAACACCTTAGTGCCCTTCATATTTTGTAGTACTCTAAAAAAAATAGGAAAATTCTTTAATTTTCGGCCTTTTTGAGATGCCCTCTCTGGTAACAAGACGGTAGAATTTTGTGTTTCTTTCACATAATGTACAATATAGTATTACTCATTATATATTATGGTTTGAACAAAAAGTCTATTGTAGTATTAGTATAATTTGCCTTAAATGCTAAAATTTGTCACTTTCCTATAGAATCCTATAGTAAATGTACCTCACGCATTCTCAATTTATAGTCTCAATTCGCTTTAAATAATGTACCGCGCTTTAAGTAATATAATATTTCAAATAAATTCTATTTTCTGCCAGTCATGTGAACCATTGTTGGTTGTTGATTAAAATACAACAATTGTTTCTTGTAACTTGAATGATTATCTTAGGGGAAAATCACATTTTATAGCAGAAATCGATATACCCTTATCTAACTGTGTCTGAAAAGGGACATTTTAGAAGTAGATGAGTTTCGCTGAATGTCAGTTGAGTGAGTTTTAAAAAATACATGTACACTTGATGTAGTCAAAACTAAATAATTTGAAAGGTGTGTTAAATACACGGCACCCCGACCCTCTGGCTGTGACCCAATATTTTTTAAAAGGTGTGAATTCTGAACTGACTATCAGAATGTTTCAAATCAAAGAGAAATTCTTTTTGCGTAAACAGACTTTCAAGGTCACCTATCGTCATGCGATTTTGATTGACAGGTGATGCACAAGGATGTCCTGCACAGCATGTATGTGCAGAGAATGAATGCATTGCACCGTGGTTGTAAAAAGTTTGAACCACAGTTGTGGAAATTAAATAGCATCTATGACTTTGGCGATGTAAATGAAACGAAGAATGAGATAAATTCAAGGTTTTCCTTAAAGGTTTTTTAAGATCATGTAACGGGGTTGCGTATCTCCCGCTTTCTCTCTCTCTTTCACGACATAGTATTTACACATTTTACAAGAAAAGAATAACTTAACAAAATGAAAAAAAAACTTATTTAAATAATTAATTAGACTGAAAGGATTTTTAAAAACATAATACTAGTTTATGAAAAGAAATGTTTTCTTCGCGATCGGAAGTCATTTCATTGATTCCGAGTTTCTGCTTCTGATTTTCGTATCTAAATTCACAGTAATTAAAGATTTTCAGATTAAATAAAGATTTACTTAAGAAAAAAAGAAAAAAAACAAACAAGCAAGTATTCTATGCCCTGTAAGTTTTTTTAAATTATTTTTCTTCAACATTTTTTATTAATAAATTTATTTTTTGTTACTGAAATTTCTCTTCTAAGGCAGACATTTAAACGAAAGATCAAACAATTTTAAAAATGAGAAACAATCTACATTTCTTATTACTAAGATTAAAAATAAAAGCACGAATAGTCATATTTTTATCTATAGATCAATCAATTGAAAATAATTTATATACGTGTATAGTGTTAAATATAGAACAAGTATATATTCAATTATGTTAAAGCTTTATTCTAGAATGAAAATTTATTATATACATGTGTGTATTTTTTTCTATTTAAGACACAGCCTCGGCATACGTAAAATTAAAATACGTACAGAAATATTTACCTCCTATATATCAATGTATTTACAAATGCCAAAAAGATCAGTGGGACGATGTTTTTCCTTTCCTTTTATTTTCTTATTTCCTCCATCTCTGCTTCAGTGTAAATTAATTTTTAAAATTGAACCCGAAATATAGCATATAAGACTATGATAAACACAATAGCATACATGTGCATGTAATAAAACATTTGAACATACCTAATAAATAGAAACTCATTAATACTTCAATTAACATGAAAAATAAATAATACATTCTTTAATAACGGAAAAAATTGTACACGTGCATAACGATCTTCAAAATTCGTTTAAAATGGACTATTTTTTCAGCCAATCAATGACCAAAGCTAACAGGCTCCGCCCACTTCATTTGCATACCGTTTTCCAAAGCGTACCGTTCACAAAACGAACCGTTCCGTGCAAGAAACGAAACGTACCGTCCACAAAGCGTACCGTTCCGTGTAAGAAACGAACCGTACCGTGCACAAAGCGTACCGTTCCGTGCACAAAGCGAACCGTTCCGTTCTCAAAGCGTACCGTACCGTGAACAAAGCGAACCGTTCCGTTCTCAAAGCGTACCGAACCGTACCGTGCAAGTGGTGTAGTAGCACGGTTTAGGGTCTGTATTATATGTAGCTATTAAGCACTACATTTATGTAAATATAGCACTATTCACCCACTTGCTCTCCTTTGATTATGTCATTTGGTTTCTTTTTGTTCATGGTGATCGGTCGTTCTTTTGTACATATGTCACTTATGACTGAATCACATAGATTTCCATTTTTGTTTTGTACTTTATTTTTTTGTCTTTTTACCCCCATTTTCTTTTGTTTTTGTTTGTTTTTCTCCATTTTCATGTGTTCACAGTCTTGTATGTATGCTCCGCCCTATTTGCGATATTGCTCTCACATATTATACATTGCGGCTTATCTATTTTTAAAGAAAAATGTATCAATATTTTAATCAAAGATAGGTAATTCTATCGAGCAATATCGCCGCTATTGGCAACTATTACTGCAATAGCAGATGTACGATCCAAAATAGTGTTTTTTCCTTTTTTAGATGTCAAAAATCTACATTTATATTTGATAAACTCTAGAAAGAAATGGTTTAAACTACAAAAAATGTGTGGTATTTTTCAAAACTTTCTGCATCTGCAATTTTGGTTTCAAATTATTTTTTCTTGCATCTTTTGTCAGGGGACATTGAAATAAATCCGGGACCTACAAATGATCAGATACACACATTGGACATCTTTCATTTAAACATCAGAAGTTTACGACATAAGATTGAAAATGTAACAGCATTAATCACGGATTTTGATATTTTATGTTTCACGGAAACACACTTGGACTCAAGTATTTGTAATAGTGACATTATGATTGAAGGTCATGATACAATTTTTCGCAAAGATAGAAATTCTAATGGTGGAGGTATCATTATCTATGTATTCTTCATGTTTTCGTGCTATTCGTCGCATTGACCTTGAACCCATATCAATCGAATGCGTCTGGATAGAAATAAGTGAACCTACCTGTAATCTTTTTCTTTGTTGTATACTGTATATCGTCCACCCAGTAGCGAAAAATCCTTTTGGGACAAATTTTTATGGTCAGTTGAAAAAGTATCAGATATATCCAACAAATTTATAATTGTAGGTGACTTAAACGTTGATTTCCTTGACAATACTCGCACACTTCCTATTAAAGACATCATGCTGAATTATCACTTGACAAACACAATCAGCGAACCGACACGAACTACATACACTTCGAATACTCTTATTGACCCAGTTTTGATCAGCTCAGACCTTGTAGCACTCCACTCAGGCGTGATAAACACAGACAGTACACTAACTGATCATAAAGCAACTTATGTTTTTTTAAAATCTAGTATCATCAAAAGTCAACCTTATGTTAGGAAAATATGGGATTACAAAAATGCTAATATAGAAAAACTTAATAACCTTATAGAAAATGCTGACTGGGAAAATCTTATTTGTAATGCAGAATCAACTGACGAAGCTACCGAAAATTTTTCAACCAAATATCTAGATCTCGTTAGGGAATGTGTACCGGAAAAATCAGTATTAATAAGACCCAAAGACAAACCTTGGTTTGATTCACTTTTAAGGAAAACCCATCGGGAAAAAAATAGATTGAGACGAAAAGCACAAAAAAGTGATAAACAGAGTGATTGGGATAATTTTAAGCATATAAGAAATAAATTTAATAACATGAAAAAACATGCTATTGAAAATTATCAAAATACTCTTGAATTACAACTAATTGATTCAAGTAAAAACAACTCTAAGCTTTACTGGAAACTTCTAAGAGACACTTTTAAAAGTAAGTCAACCACAGACATCCCCCCTTTACAGTACACATCTGCATCAGGTGATGTTAAGTTTGCTTTTTCTGAGGAAGATAAGATACATGTACTCAACACTTATTTTGCTTCAATTACATGTGTTGATGATGAAATGTCTGAATTACCTAAAGAAAACATTGAGTGCAATAGTGTTTTTGACAATATCTTTATTTGTGAACAAGAAATTATTGACATTTTATCTATATTACCTGTCAATAAAGCCATTGGAGAAGACTGTATTAGCCATAAAATGTTAAAATCAACAAAATTATCTGTTGTTAAACCTCTGTGCTTATTGTTTAACCGTTCATTGAAAGACTGTGTTTTTCCAAAAAAATGGAAATTAGCTAATGTAATCCCTTTGTTTAAAAAAGATGATCCTGCAGTTTTATCTAACTATAGACCTGTTTCATTGTTAAGCTGTGTCAGTAAAGTGATGGAGCGTATTGTATTTAAACACTTGTACAACTATTTTCACTCTAACAATATTTTTTATAAATGCCAGGCTGGTTTCTTACCTGGTCACTCTACTGTATATCAGTTATTAGAAACATATGATAACATTGTTAGGAATATTGATGAAGGCAAATCCTGCTGTATGATTTTTTGTGACTTATCTAAGGCCTTTGACCGTGTATGGCACAAAGGTCTCTTATTTAAATTAAAAATGTATGGTGTAAAGAAAGATATGTATAGTTGGTTAAAAAGCTATTTAGAGAATAGAACGCAAAGAGTGATATACAAAAACCTGGTATCCCCTTCTGAATCCCTTTATGCGGGTGTTCCACAAGGCTCTGTATTAGGTCCATTGTTATTTTTAATTTATGTGAACGATGTAGCTGACAAGATGTCAAGCTTTTGTAGACTTTTTGCTGATGATAACAGTTTGCAGTATGCATCTAAATGTGTCAAATCTATAGAAGGTCATCTGAATAATGATCTTTTATCTCTGGAAGAGTGGTCTAAAAAGTGGTTGCTAAAATTTAATCCCTCTAAAACTAAGGTTGTATTTTTTAACACAAGAAAAAACAAAGAATTTCCAAAACTCCTTTTCCAGGATAGCCAATTAGAATATGTTCAAACTCATAAGCATCTAGGGGTAACGTTTTCATACAACTTAAGTTGGTCATCTCACATTGAAATCTTGCTGTCTAATGCATACAAAAAATTAGGTCTTTTGAAAAAACTTAAGTTTAAAATAAATCGAAAAAGCCTTTCACTTATGTATACTTCATTTATCCGTCCCCAACTTGAGTACGCTTCAGTTGTGTGGGGTGGTTGTCTATCCATCGATTCTGAAAAATTAGAAAAATTGCAACTACACGCAGCTCGGATTGTTACTGGACTAACTATGATTGCCTCTAGAGACTCTTTGTATTTTGAAACAGGCTGGGAACCACTCAGCGACAGACGTAAGATCCAAAGATTAAATATCATGTACAAAATTCACAATGATTTAGTACCAGATTACCTATCTGAGATTATACCTGATATGCGATGTAATGCTTCTGCATATACAACAAGAAACTCACAAAATTATAGTATACCTGTATGTAAATTGCAAACCTACAAATCATCATTTGTACCAACTGTAATAAATGAGTTGAATTTCTTACCGCTAAATACCAGACTTTCGAGCTCTTTGTCTGTTTTCAAAAGTAAAATTAAACAAAAAATAACAGAAGCTCCGCCATATTTTAATTTTGGTAAAAGACGCAACAATATACTGCATACACGGCTTCGGCACAATTGCGTGCTAAACGCTGATCTTTATAGATGTAATATAATATCTAGTCCACTATGTTCCTGCGGTAAGGTAGAAAATACGCATCATTATTTTTTCTCGTGCCCTAACTACAACGAGGCCAGGAAAGAGTTTTTCGATAAGTTTTTGAGATTTAATAAAGTCCATATTGTTGACATTCAGACTTTACTTTGGGGGGATACATCACTCAGTATTGCTGAAAATGAATATCTATTTTCTATAGTACATTCTTATATTCAGCATTCTGGTAGATTTAACTGATTGTACACATTTTTTAAAACTATTTGTATATACAATAATGTAGCAGTCTCTATATGTCTACAATGAGAGTTTATTTAATTTACTTGTTATTTATTTTGTACAAACTGTTGAACACTTCTAATTCATCCTGTTATAATATCTCATGTAGGGAGAGGGCGATTTAAGTTTTTAGAACTTGTGCCCAATCCCATTGTATATATTTTGTGCAATAAAATATGTTCAAACCAGAAACATTGTATAGTTTTGTGATCTGTTTACAGTTGTACATGGATACCCTTGGATATAACTACAAGTTCTTAACTGATGATGAGTTTTCTCAAATAAAAAACACCTTGGATAATGTTATGAAATCAAAGGCCAAAGATAGTCGGTGGCGCAAAAAAACAGGCTTTACCAATTACAGAGGACGAGGAAGATATATTAATTGTGGTCTAAAGGTATTCTAGGGGACACCGACCCTGAACAGCTTCTGTATACATTACTCTATCTAATTGGCCTTCATTTCGCTTTACGTGGGGGACAAGAGCATCGAAGTTTAAGAAGAGGAGACCGTTCACAATTATCTGTTTCTGAGGACGCTCAGGGGAAATTTCTTAGTTATACGGAGGACACATCAAAGAGTAATCAAGGTGGATTAAAACATAGAAAAATTTCCAAAAAATCTGTCCAAGCATATGAAAATAAGCAAATGCCTAACAGATGTATAGTGAAATATTGTGAGAAATATATTAGTAGGTGTCCCGATGTAAAAGTGTGTGACGCGTTTCATCTTCGCCCACTTGCAAAACCAACTGAGGAACAATGGTATTCTGTTCAGCCCATTGGTAGGCATAAACTTGCCAATGTTGTTTCTGATCTGTGCAAACAGGGAGGACTACATGGATTTAGAACAAACCACTCGTTACGCGCTTAAGCAGCAACTCAACTGTATCACGCTGGCGTGGATGAGCAGCTTATTTCGGAGGTAACTGGCCATAGATCGAATGCTATCCGGAACTACAAGCGAACAACCGCAGCACAAAAAAGGAATTTGAGTGAAATTCTCCAAGGACGTAAAGACAGTGATATTGATATCAATAACAATAGCCACTGTGAATGTGTCAAGTCCGGATCCGATTTTCAAGTCTGTAAATATTTCATTTAATAAAAAGTGAAGTAATTTTGCTTGAAATAAAAATTATCAAAAGTTATTGTGTTATACTAAATATAACAATGGTTGACCTACTTTCCGAACGCTCCATTCCTTATAAATAATGGAGCGTTCAAACAAAAGAATGACGTCACAGGTGGATTTTAATTTATATTTCTAACGTACCTTCACACGTCAGTATTAATGCCGCCTGACGGCCCTCTTCTTCTCGCATATCCTGTCCAATAAAATTGATATAAACAAAGAAAAGAAATACACACATAAATTTAAACTATACATGCAAATTAGATAGCTACAGCGAACAAAAAAAAACGCAAGTTCTGAGGTAGCCCGTCAACGAAGCAGAAACATCCTGTCTTCAGTGCGCGTTTCATAATTTCGTTTTCGGATGCTCTCTTAAAGTTGATTTTAAATTTTTGTTATTAATTAACTACAGACAGAAAGATCAATTCTTCATGACCAGTGTATTTTTTAACAATATGACATAAAATACACACGAGTGACCCGGAACCGAAGACGACCCGGAAATGAAGACTCTGGCACTGTATTGTTTTGTGGATTTTTCTAAATCGATCACTGCTCGTTATACCTTTTATATAAATTAATCGATTTCTTAATCCAGTCTGTAATAAATTTGAGGGGGTCGACTGTCGTTTTCATTGCGCAATATTTCGCGCATCAGAGTAAAATGAAGCGTATTTACTGTTTTAAAGCAACTTTGTTCACTTGGTTAATAAGGTTAAACAAAATTAAGAAAATGCAGGTTTAAAAATGTAATTACAATTTTATATATCTGAATTTTAAGCGATTTTGCAACTGATAGGTACATCTAGATAGATTGACGTCGTTATAGTGTGTTTTTACGTTATGATAAGCTGAAGGGGTAATAAAAGTTAATGTTATTAAACAAAAAGTAATAAACATACGCTCTTGAAATTTAAAACATAGAAATTTGAGAACCTCTCCATTATTCTTATCAGTTTTTCATATAACACCTTAGTGCCCTTCATATTTTGTAGTACTCTAAAAAAAAAAAACAGGAAAATTCTTTAATTTTCGGCCTTTTTGAGATGCCCTCTCTGGTAACAAGACGGTAGAATTTTGTGTTTCTTTCACATAATGTACAATATAGTATTACTCATTATATATTATGGTAAGTCTATTGTAGTATTAGTATAATTTGCCTTAAATGCTAAAATTTGTCACTTTCCTATAGAATCCTATAGTAAATGTACCTATATTTTGAGACGATCCCTTAAAAATACCTGGACGGCAGATTTCGCCCAAACTTGGCATGTACACTATAGTTAATGTAAGTTATATATGGTATAGTTTTGTTATTGTAGTTTTCACACAATAAAACCCCAGTCGGCCCCCTTAACTGAAAATATCTCTCTCTCTCTCTCTCTCTCTCTCTCTCTCTCTCTCTCTCTCTCTCTCTCTCTCTCTCTCTCTCTCTCTCTCTCTCTCTCTCTCTCTCTCTCTCTCTCTCTCTCTCTCTCTCTCTCTCTCTCTCTCTCTCTCTCTCTCTCTCTCTCTCTCTCTCTCTCTCTCTCTCTCTCTCTCTCTCGATCGACCTGTTATTGGGGTACGTTTAACAGCGTAGCAGTAAAAATAAATTCTTTTTGTTCCAAAAGTAAGTTATATTACAGAAACATGTATGTATATTAATATTTATCTGACATCTGACACTTAGCGGCTAAGCTAGCTGTCCGTTCAGTACAGCTGATCTATACACCTAGTTGCTAGGTTAGTCGCTGCAATGTCGACCGCACTCTGATATTAAAGGAACGTACCTTAAGTAAACTATAAATTGCCTCGAAATCATTGGACGAAGCTTTTCGTATATTTAGGTCCTTCATGACTTCCAAAAGCAAAGTTCATTTCCGGAAAAATCAAAGTACTGAAAGTATGAGTATACGTGATCTCTTCAGTACTGTTAATCATTTTTCAAATTAATCATGAAAATTATGTAAAGGTATAATACTTTCAAGTACATGAATTAGTAATATATGCACATATATATGATGTATATATACATACCTATAAAACAATTTCCTAAATGTACATAATTATATAAGATTAAATGTACTAAGTCTTTCTTTTTGCCCCAACGATGGCCCTTAATATTGGTTAATAAAAACTATAAAAAGGAACATTTCGGTTAGCATGATTAGGAATGGAGATTAATTTCTTAAGGTGTAGCGAGCACAGGCACTTGTTTCGGACATAACCATTGTATAATAATAACATAATATGTATATTATGGGTTAAAATTTATTTCCGAAACAAGTGCCTGTGGTAGGAAGCTATACGGTCTTAACGTGACTGTACATTCACCTGTTCACAAGCACCTGACGTCACATATTTTTCCCATATAGAAAAACATATCAATACCCATTAATACACAAAGTAACCATCGGCCGCCAGCTAGCTTGATTTCTTTTTCTCAATTCATAGTTTTGTCTGAAACTCCAATATAGGCGGGATCAGGTGCCATCGAGGAGTGAGCATCCCCTGCTGACCGGTCATACCCGCCGTGTGCTCCTTGTCATGATCGGGAAATAACGGAAAAATCCGTCGTCAATTCAGTGTATAAATAATGGACTAACAATAAGTATGAAAAACGTCAGTCAGCATTTGACTCAATGGTAAATTGTATTTGCTGACAAGGTCATTGTATCCACCAAAGAAAATGATGACTTTAAACGAGACTGCTGATATTTTTGTTTCATCAACTTGTTTGTCAATAATTTACCTCGTTTTAGAAATTGTTCATACATAGAGCATGCTCTTGCGTGTCGAATCAACTCCGCATGCAGGTGATGAAGGTATATTGCTGCATAAGTAAGGGAAGTTGACGATAGAAAAGTTTAAAAAGTCATCACGTTTATCATAGAGCTTGATTGTTAAATTAAAATACCATTAATGCTTTTTTCAAGTAAAATATCCAAGTATGAAACAGTTGATCCTTACGTCACGGGTTCGAATCCCACTGCGGAAATTAGAGACCAGTCCTTTGAATGAGAACTTATAGGTATACTGAGGTCCTGTGTTGCAGGAGGAGGTATGTGCTGGCTCGGAAAAAAAATCCCTCACTCGCGCAATGGCCCTAGTTGTCCAGTACTGGTCTCAGTTTAAAGCCCGGCCGGCCTCCACTGCATGGCAAGTGGTGGTTTTTTAATTTATGTAAGTGAAAAATTTTCGAAATTATTCCAAGCAGTCTGATTTGCTCAAACAAACAAAAACATAAAAGCGGTTGTAACTTTCACTTTGTAATATATACAAAAAATTGCGCCCCGATATTATTGATGATAATTGCTTATAATAGCAGACCTGGTTTTGTATTCATATTAAACATAATTTATTCAAAATAATATACAAGAGAGAAAAAATGCACTTGTTTTTCACTTCGATATTCAGATACCAGTATATCGATGATATTATCGATTTACAAAAGTTACTTCCGTTGAATCCATTCATAAGTCGACTCGATATATCACAGTGAGCTTGAAATAAAAGTTACCACAGCCTGGCTTTTCTGTTTCATAGTTGGATATTTGATTATATATATTATTTTTCTCTATTATTCTAAGCCGTCTGATTTGCTCAAACTTGATCACATGATCAAGTACATCTCAGGTCAAAAGGTAAAGGTCGTAAATTCATACATTGTGTGTGTGTGTGTGTGTGAAACTTTGATTTCCAGTGAAACTTTTTAAGCTTTTGCAATGAAATTTTATACTACTACTCTATATGGCCAACCCCACCTGCCCTTCTTAAAGTGCCCCACCCCCTCCCCCTCCCCACATATGCACTTGCTTTTCTTTTTCCTTAAGTATGGGGACACAGGTTCTCTGAAATAGCTTGTTGAAGATTAACTTTTGATGACAATAAAACTTACTATTTTCCTTCTTCATATTTAACAAAAAAGATATATATATGGAATATGTAGAGGTTTTAAGAAGAAAAATGCAGATGGGGAAATAGGAACCATGTCCAATGGACACAATTCTTTTTTAAATAGCTCCACAAATGTTGCCGAGTACTAAATTTTATATTTCAAGTCTTCTAAGGATTTTTTTTACAGCCATCTACTCATTTGCCTTCTCTATATTTATGTGCGAAATAAAAAGCAAGTATACATGACTGTATTTCTACAAATTTATTTAATTTCATAATTTTATATCATGATATATCAGATTTTGACAAAAAACTTGGATAAAAATACATCACAATGAATTTCATCACTTCTGAAATCAGAAGTTTTTAAACTGACAAAAAACCCTCCCAGATTGAAACATGTAACATGCTGTCAATTGCATGCAACTTAGTTGCATAAAGCACAAAGTCAGTTATCAGTAGAACCAATTATTCAGTTATGGTTTCCAGATTCTAAGAAGGCCATCTTCTGAGTACGTAGCAATCAGATTCTGATGGGGATGATGGGTGATTCCTATCACATCTTTCTCGTGAACCTGTCAAAACAAAGAATTCATTATAATATTGTTACAATATAATGTACGTATATCTGAAAGAAAAAAAAATTCAATATAATACAGAAAATAAATATACATTTCAAAAAATTCAGAATAAGTGCAATTGATATATTGAAGACTAATTTTTTATGGTCATAAAATGAAGATGTAGCACACAAAGAATTTTTGCCTTCAAAAGAAAATTTTTAATTTTCCTTTAATAAGCTTGTCCTAAAACACTTTCTGTCTTGAGCATCCTGGATCTAAATTCTGCATTTCTTTGAGTAGAAATTAAGGGGGCCGACTATAGTTTTATTGTGTGAAAACTACAATAGCGAAACTCTTTATTTTTATACCATATGTAACTTACATTAACTTCAGTGTTCATGCAAAGTTTGGGGAAAATCTACCGCCCAGGTATTTTTGAGGGACCGTCTCAAAATACAGGTATATTTACTATAGGATTATATAGGAAACTGCCAATTTTTAGCACTTTAAAGCAAATTATACAAATACGACAATAGACATTTTGTTCAAACTATAATATTTGATGAGTAATACTATATTATACAATATATGTAAGAAACACAAAATTCTACCGTCTTGTTAACAGAGGGGGCATCTCAAAATGCCAAAAAATTAGCAAATTTTACTATTTTTATAGAGTACTACAAAATATGACGTAAACAATGGATTCACAAGAAAACATAACAAAAATAATGGAGATATTCTAAAATTTCTATGTTTAAAATTTCAAGAGCGTATGTTTATTACTTTTTCTGTAATAATATTTTTATTACCCCTTTCTTTAACAGCTACAGATTAACATAACGTCAAAAAGACACTCAGCTACGTCAACCTACCTATCAATTGCAAATTCGGATAAATAATCAGTTATATCAAATTGTAATTACATTTTTATACCTTTAATTTCTTAATTTTGTTTAATGTTAATAATTAAGCGGAAAAAGTTGCATTAAAACAGTAAATACGCTTCATTTTACTATGATGCGCGAAATATTGCGCAATGGAAACTATAGTCGGCCCCCTTAAGTATAAAAAGAAGAGTACTTAGAACATTTTGAGATCCTCCATTTCTGACGACTGGAGTTATAATCATAATATAACTTAAGTATCATTGTTAAGTTTAAGTTAAGTTGTGCAATTACTCTTGGCAAAATTTCATTGTCTCTATTAGGGCTGGGACGATATATATCGAGATATCAATATATCGTGATATATGTGAGGACGATACACATATCGATACATTTGAAAAAAAAAATATCGAAATATCGCCCAAAAAATCTGACTTCTGTTTTTCTTTGTTTATTTAACATTTGGCGTTTAATATATGAAATAAATAAGTTAAATATAAATATAGAAATAAAATTAATAATAATTAACACCACTTGAGTAAAATATTTTTGTTTTACAACATATAAACAACTATTCTGAACAAATTATTCTCATTTGCAAAGAAATAATTTGTTTATTTCAATGCAAAAAAAGAATTTATAAGCAATCAAACATATCGTGAAACATATCGTATCGTGGCTCAAATATCCTGATACGTATCGATATAGAAAAAGTTGTATCGTCCCAGCCCTGGTCTCTATATAGTGTTTTCTTCTCCCAGCTTGAACACACTTAGAGTACTATCATAAATCACTTAACCGGGGTGGGTTACCGACAGAAATGTTAATGTTACAGGGATTTTCAACACGTCAGTTTAAAGTCAGCAATTGATAAATTCTATGGCATTTCATAGACCTTGTAAGCAAATATAACCTATCTTTCTTTCGTATTGCATTTCATATCAATTATGAACTTCTCCTTTTTTTCTGACTGACTATGGATGTTCCCTCTTCCTGATCAATATACATGAGGATTATGCCCCCAATTATTACCTATAAATGGCATGTTTTAAGGAAACAAACAATATACTACAGATAATATGTAGCACACGTGATAATATAATATACATACTATATGCTCATGCCCCCTCAATTAAAATGACTGACCTTTTTTAGGGGGGGGGGGGACTTGTCAAGAAATTTTTGGTAAGTAATAGTGTCCCTAATTGAAAGAATATGGCTGTGCATCCCCCCCCCAGCCTGACTCCTCCTGGGGACCTGATCCATTTTCTTGAATTTCCAAAGGTCCCAATTTTATGCCCTGTTCACAGATTTGTTTTTGCCTACAGATGTTTTTTTTTTAGACTGATCACTGTTTATCTTCACCTTTTTGATTCAGCGTGAGAACTACTGTAAGTGAAGGTACAATGTTATACTGACTGTCAGATTAGTATTAGTGTAGTTATAATAACTTATAATGTACCTACCGTGAGGGTTCTTTCCAGTTTACCGGTGGTGACACTGAAGCAGTAGAGCACCAGATCC